TGTCACCTGGCCCAGTTGAGAGTAAAGAAATATTTTACCTCTTCCCAAATGCCTTCTTTACCAAGTAGGGTCAGAAATCAGTCTGCAAGCCAGCTGGGCTGGGTGGTTGACAGATCAGTTGAGCCTGATGTGCTCCAATTTTCTTGGAAAGCACAGCTTTAGCCTCTCATTTCCAACACCCCACCATTCCCCTGCATGACTGTGCTCCTTATCCTCCATTTCTCTAACCAACCCAGTTCCTGATATTCCAGCTCTGTGTGGGGTCAGGCTGAAGATCTGGGTCGTGGCCACTCCTGATGGATCTCTGTACTCTGACACTGCCTCTATCCAGAATGACCTAGTTAATGTGCCTTTTCCATTATATTTCTGACATAAGGATCCTTCCTTAGGACAAACTCCCAGGAGTGGAATAACTCCATCAAAGAATATGAGCATTTCTATGGCTCTTATAATGCACATACTCACTATTGTTTTCCCTAAGTGTTGGATACTTTTACATTTACTCTGTTACACCACAGTGTAAACAGAGAGGCAGGCAGTAGATTCCCATTCACTTTGAGGCCAAACATTTTCTAAAAGTTTGTTTACAAAGTATAAGTGCTATCTTTTTGCCAAAGATCTGTTCATCTTTATTTTTTCCTTCCTATTTCTTGCAATATCTTGAAGAGCCACTAGATGGCAGAGCTCACACAGTCCCTGGGAAGATATTCAGTAGATGCTGGATCAGCATCCCACTTTTTTTGGGTGCAGAGAGGAAAGTCTATTTAGGCTGGGGGTCTGAGTGCAGTGGCAATTGATGTGATTCCTGGGGAGATGTGAGGGTGGCCCTAGTAGAGAGTGTCCTGGCTGGAAATTAGTTGTTTGGGATTCTAGGACTGGCCTTGCATCAAGCTTAGATTTTGTTTATTTCTTGAGGACTTTCTGTTTGCTACATATTGTACCAACCACCACAGAGAAGCATCCATCACCAGGGTTTGTGTCTTAGGCAACTGGTTGTTTTATGGAGGTCTCAGGCAATGTAAACATGTATGCTCTTGGGCCACCAGGCAATATTTATTTAAATGGAAGTTCTGATGACTGAATTTGTAAACCAGGTCACTGTGATGCAGGAAAGTGTGTTGACTAAGGTGGATGAGTTTGGCCTTGCTAAACTTGGCTTCCAGGAGGGATCTGGAGATATTGGGAGAGAAGTGGAGCAGTATGCTCATGGATGACAAAGCTCATGGTGAATGAGTTTACTTCCTGTCTTTTGGTCTCTGACCTGTCCACCTGGGCACTGCCCTGTGACTGAAGACACACTTCATTATGGTGTCCAGGGTCATTAGGAAAGGTGTTCAAAGAATTTCAGATATGGATTCTGGGTAATGCTCCTGTCCCATTTGTCTTGGAAAGAGAATTGAAGACCACACCCTATATATGCTCATCTCCATTGGCTCTTTTCTCTGCATGTCCCTGATCCTCAAACCTTTATGGGTGCCTTTTAGAGCTCTTGGAACTCTGTAGTAGAGAGAAATGGTACAAAATAAATATACATTATAATTATAACTACTATAAAACAAAGCAACCTGCAAACAAGTGAAAGGAAATGAATTATCCACTTCCTCAACTGCCTCATAAGGCTCTGCCAGTATTCTATGGGGCTACCAAAAGACAATTCAACCCTTTTTAACTAAGCACAGCCTCTACCATTCATTATACACCATGTACAGAATTTAATAAAGACTCAGCCAGCATGCCAAAAAAAAACCAGTCTAATTGACCAAAAAACAAAATAAAACAAGAAACAAGGCAATCAAAATAGTCCCATGGATGATCCAAATATTGAATAGCCACACAGAAACACTAAAATAACTATGATAGGTGTGTTTTAGAATATAGAGGAAAACTTGGAGAATTTCATCAAATAATGTAATCTATAAAAAAAGAGTAAAATGGAAATTCTAAAATAATTTAGCAAATTTTATACTTTGGGTCTATAGGCATGAACATGTTTTATAAAATTTATTGCTACACATTTTATGCCCTTGGGTGCTACTGTAAATGGAATTGTGTTTATAATTTCATTGCAAGGAAGTTACTAGGCACAGCCCACACCTAAGAAGTGGGGAGTTCTCATATACTTCTCTTCCTTGAGGGTGGAGTATCTACATAAATTATTTGGAATTCTTCTGCATGGGAGATCTGTCTCTTTCCCCCACTTATTAATTTATTTAATCATTTATTTATATCAGTATGAACTCATGGGAATATTTTGGGTTATAATGTTATACTACCTTACTCATCTGGTTCAAATTTTTCTGGCTTCAGCTATTGAGATCTCTTTCAGCTGGTTCTTGTGCTTCTTTGACACGAGCCTATTAATGTTTTGTTTTGTTGTTTTGCTTTCTGGCACTACTCCAGGCTCACTTTGTACATTTCCTGCCCTGGTTCTAGAGTCAACTATTTCTCTGGGGATTCTTGGTTCCTTTGATTGGAGAAGGGTATTGGACACCAAGATCTCAGTGCTAGGTGTGGTCATTACCTGCTCAGTTCATTGCTACTGGGGTGTCATTTCTCCTAACCCTCTTCTCTCACAGAGCAAAGATATATGTCTGTATGTTAACCTAGATATATACATGTATCTAGAAATATCCATGTAATCATCTATGTCTACTTTAAATTAAACATGAGTTCATATTGATATCTCCAACTCTACCCCATTATTACATGGATTAGTCCATGCAATAGGCATGGTATATGTATATATCACATTTTATTTATCCATTCATCTGTCAGTGCACATTTGGGTTGCTTCCACCCTTGGCTATTGTGAATAATGCTCCTATAAATATAGATATGCAGATATCTGAGATTCTACTTTTAGTTCTTTCAGATAAATACCCAGAAGAAGGATTGCAGCATAGTATGGCCATTCTGCTTTTAATTTTTTGAGGAAACACCAGACTGTTTTCCACAGTGGCTACACTGTCTTACATTCCCACCAACAGTGCACAAGGGTTCCAACTTCTCCATGCCCTCATCAACACTTGTTATTTTCTGTTTGATTTTTCTTATAGTGGTCATCCTAGTGGGTGTGAGGTACACTTAAGATAGTTGAATGCAGGTTTTGTATGTGTTAAAGGTAGATTTACACTTTCATTTTGTTCATTTTCTCTTTTGATCTTCAGTGAAGCTCTGAAATATTAGCTGAAAGGACATGTCCATTGGAAATAAATGAAGGCCTCGCTGGTGTTACCATATATTGATTGCTAATCCAAGAATGTTACAGGCATGCTGGACCTGGTTGTTAGGATTGTTCATTATAATTTAGGGCTGCAGCTTCATGGAAGAATAGGAGCTAGGCATGCATTACCTTTTGCTACTGATTTATGACTTAATTGCATTGTTGTCAGACAATGTGGTTTATATTAAATCAATCCTTTGAAATATTTTGAGAATTGCTATATGGTGTTGTATGTGCTCAGTTTTCATAAATATTCATTGTATCTTCATAAGTATGAATTCTTTCTAATTCCTGGATGTTGAGTTCTATATATTCATTAAATCAAAACTGTTAATTATGTTAGATTGAATCTTGTATATCTTTACTGTATTATAATTATAAATATTATAAGTCTATTCATATTTGAGCAAGTGCATTAAGGTGCCCCACCAAAATTGTGGGTTTTTTATGTGTCCCTTTAGTTTTATCAATTTTTAATTTATGTTTTGAGGTTTTATAAGTATGCTTACATGTTTAGAATTTTTATAATTTCCTGATATGTTGAATATTTTTCTTTTTAGTGCAAAGTCTCTTTTCTCCCTCTCAGATATTTTTGTTTTTATGTAATTTACTTTGTAATATTAATATAGCCAATAATATTATGGATCCAATTTCCTGGCATGTATTTACCATCCTTTTACTTTCAGTAGTTCTGTAGCCTATGATTTAGGAATGTCTTATATTCTAAAGATGCACTCTGAGAGCTTCTGTGTCTTGTCTTCTATCCATACTTGGTGATTATTGATATATTTGCATTTGTTCCCACCATCTATCTTGGTGTTTTCAGACTGTCCTTCCTTTCCTATGTTCTTTTTTTCCTCCTTTTCTTTTTACACTTTTATGGGGAAATGTATTGAGTTTTAAAAAAATATTCTACCTTTTCCTATTTTATACTTTACAGACTTAGAATTGATACATTTTATTTATGTCCTTTAGGGGTTATGCTTGAAAATTTTAGTTCACATGCCTGACAAAGTCTAAAATTATTGGTACCCTCCTGCCTCTCAAAATATACCTATATTTAGCCCCCTCTAATTTCAGTCACTCCCTCTTGGCTTTAATAATGACAGTTTTTGTTCTTCTTTTACAATATGTGTGCACGTCTTCATTTTCTTTTCTTAAAGCCTCTGGCAGTGGCCAGGCAGCCCTTCCATGGCCCTGGCTGTGGGGTGCATGCTCTGATGTAGTGACTGATGAATATGAAGGCCGTAGACTTCCAGGTTCTACAAATCCTGGAAAAATTTCTCCAGCCAGTAGTTCCTAAAGGGTTTTGGAATCACTATTAAATGCTGATTCTTATCCAGTGCTTTCCAGCATATATTATTAATATCATTTTTGTTTTTTTCTTTGTCATAATGGTTTGTGTGTGTGTGTAGGTGTGTATACATGTGTGAATGTATCTGTGTGTATATACATCTGTATCTATAAATGAAATCTGATATTGGTATATAGTAATCTATATATGTAATTACAAGTGAAATTAGTATAAAATATTTAAACCAAACAAAATGCTCAACAATACCTGGTAAAACAGTATACCATTTACTTAAATATTTTAATGGATAATAAGAAGTTCCTACATCATAAGGGTGATGTTGAAATTAAGTGAGATTACACATGCAAAGTGGTTACCATCATCAATGCTACCATTAATAAAAAATTATCTGGCATTTTAATTAGATGACAACATGAACATAAGAGACCCCCTCCTACCTACCTATGACCCTCCTACCACCCTTTGATTCCTCTCAATGTTTTTATAGCATTAATCATAACTTAACTTTAAAATAAAATATACATAATCATTGTACCCTGAGCTCTCATATTAGGAAATTTTTTTCAGGTACAAATGGATCCCATTCTTGGGTTTCAGGAGACCCTGAACTGAGGGGGAAGGAGACCTGGTGGGGTCTGGAGCCACCTTGAAGCGGAGTAGAATCAAGGCAATGGCCACCTTTAACTCAATCATGGCGAAGTGCTGCCCAATGCAGTTCCTGTGGACACCAAGAGAAAATCCACAAAGTAATGAAATAACAAGTCCGATGTTTACAATAAAGAAACATTTTCATTCCAAATGACATATGAACTTCAGTGCTTTGTGTTTACTTGTTTCTTGTAAGAATGTGACCTGGGAGGCCCCAATGTGATGCCCTCCCTAAACCAGGTGGTACCTGGACTTGCTCATGGAATGTTTCTCCTGGGAGGACCTGATGTAAAACATAGTGACTACAATGGTAGCACTGTATTGTATAATTGTTATTTGCTAAGGAGGTAAACTATGATTGTACAATAGTGCATATTTCACATACACACAGACACAAAGATAAATATGTGAGGTGAAAGATGTGATAATTAACTGGATGGGGAGGAATCTTTCCACAGTGCATATCTATATGAAAACAGTATGATGTACACTTTGAAGGTCTTACAATATCAACATGTTAATTATACATCAATCAAGCTGAGGTTTAAAAAATTTCTCTCTATTTTTAGAAAAGAATAAAGGCAGCCCATCTGCACAGGGGGTGGACTTCATTGAGTCTACAAGCAACAGCTTGCATCATGGGAAGGCTTGCTGAGGCAAAGCCATACAGGATATGACAGAGAATGGGGTATGCTTTGTGAGACTGACTGGCCATCTCAGAGGCTCAGCAAGGCACCAAGATCTCTTCATGGTCATGTAAGAAAAAGGGATTTCATGGAAGAACATATAGAGCTGAGGGGCTAAAGGAAAGATGCTGTGTCCAAGTAAACATTTTTGTGTAATTTTTAATAGTTTTGAGTTGTCCTCACCTTGGTCCAGCTGAGAATGGCAAGAAGGAGTGGGTGTGTCTCTTACTATAATTCTCTGGAGAAAACCTCAAGGGGTCAAAAACCTGAAATAAGAGGGCACCCCCAGCACCATTAACAACATTCAAAGAAATAAAAAAATATATATTGTGATTCAAAGAAATATGCTGTGAACCACAGGTATAATTTCAAGTGTCCAAGCAGTCACAGTTTTGAAGGGGGAAAATGAACTAATAATAGAATTTATTTAATATTATCATTCTAACATCTACCTAATATAAAGAATTATTAAAGAAATATTTCATATTTTTTCGTGCATGTTCAAACTCCAGTGTGAATTTTTCTAGCATGTCTCAGTTTGGACTACCCACATTCCAAGTAGTCAGTAGCCATGTGACTAATGGCTACCACCCTGGACAGTGCAACTCTAGAACTATGACCCTGCCCGGCTTTCCAATTCACTAGTGTGTTACCCAGACTAAGTCAGGGGAAAGCACAAACACTATGTCCAGTCGTATTATTTTTCACTTCAGAGGTAAGAGAGCACCTACTGAGAAGTCAAGTGAAAATGACTATGTGATCAGTTGTTACTGAGCTATGCAGTTCAACTTCCCATTACATGTAACCCAACTTTAACCCCAGCAGTTGTATAAGAGGAAGCATTCACACAGGTTGTGTTTCAAGTTTTTCAGAACATTGAATCAAGGAACTCAGGTATGCTACCCATCTGCTTTTTGCCTCTCCAGGTCCTCTCTCCTCCCTGCTCTGGGCTCTAGGAAGCTGACCCATGTGTCATCCTGTTGGGTAGGGTTAGAAAAGGCATTGATAGGAGGGTGGGAGGAGAGAGCATTTGGGGTAGTTATTCCCTGGGTCCTTCTCTGCCAGGCTGTCTCAGGTTGGCTGCATGCTCTACTGACAGCTACCACTCCTGTCTGATGGCCTTCCCTGGGAGCTCTCTTTCTCCAGGTTTGTAACCCTCTCTCCCACATCTCATCAGGCCTAGCAGTGGTAAGCACTGTGGCAGTTGTTTGCTCCATTTTGCTTTTCCCAAACCCCCAACCCATACTTTTATCAATAGTTCCTTCATAAAACTCGCCTCAAATGCCCAACTTGAGGGGATCATTGATTACCTGCCAGATTCGGGATTGTTACCTCCAGCAAAAGGGAGTTTGAGTCACCTGAATTACTGCTGACCATCTACACTCTTGCAGACATCTAGGTAAGTGCTTGCTAGAGCCTGTTAAGTAACTGGCTGTGGCCATTTAGGGCAGCCTGTGTGACATTATGCCAATTTGTTCATTCAAAGCAGAGATAAAGTGGGAATAGGGGGAAAGGACAAGTATTCCCTTAGTGGAAAACTTACAATTTTGGTTTTTATGTTTATTTTTGTTTGCTGTATCATTTGCCAATTCCATGCCTAGCTAACAGAAAGTGAATTGTATAGCACTAGTTCTCTGAAGTATTTATGTGTAAGACAGTCATACCTTGGGGTTTTCCCAGATGGCAGGGTTGTGGTGAAGACCCCATATACTGAGAACCACTGTCATTCCTGAGAAGCAGAAAGATAGAATTGATTGCAGAAAGAACAGCAAGAAGTGGGCTATTGTTATAACACTCTTCACTAAGACTTTTCTTCTAGAAGGGAAGGAGCTGGCTCCTGGCAGAGCTCTGTGTGCTGTGGCTGATGCCAGCAGTGAAGGACCCATGGGAAGATCAGGCTTGATGGCACCTAAGTTTTCAAAGCTTGACCTAATTAAATACATGATTCTGTGTTAAAGAGCAAATGGTATTGTGTCAAACATGCTTATGTTTTCTGTTAGCTCTGAAAATTGTTTATGCTGTAGTCCTTCCTTCCCCATGGGGATATGCTCTAAGATGCTCTAGTGAAACCCTGAATCTGTGGGTGGCACTGAACCCTCATTATATCATGATTATACCTATAAATACATACATATGATAAAGTTTAATTTACAAATTAGGTATAGTAGGAGATTAACAACTAACAATAAAATAGGACAATTATAGCAATATGTTATAATAGCAGTTATGTGAATGTGGTTTCTCTCTCCCTCAAAATATCTCCTTGTACTGTACTCACACTTCTTCTGATGATGTGAGATTAAAAATGCCAAACCTATTCCTGAATTCGTATAGACATCTCTTACTTTCAGGAAACAGCTGAGCATACTCATTTCAGGGGACTACTTGGAGAAGTCTCTGTATAGGTTCAATGCTTTCTAGCATACTATATTACCATCAGTCAGAACTTGTTTTCTGCTCATGTCTTTCACCCACAAATTTAAAGTCTTGTCCATCTTAACTAGCACTGTTTATGCATGTGGCCATAACTTTTGCAGTGTGAAGTGCAACAGAAAATCTATACAAATTTCTTTTCCCATTTTTACAATTCCACAAATATAATATTTATGGTTATGGCAGATCACAGCAAATTCAGGTTATGAGAAGTTTCACATTTCTCCTTAAAAAAACACTTTACAACTTTCTTTATGCATATCCAAATTGCCAGCATTAATACTCTTGTGCCTTGGGGCCATTATTAAGTAAATTAAGAGTTTCAGACCCCAGATGATTGCAGGTAAGTGAAGCAGGGAAAATGAAATCACACATAGGGAGGGGCTACTGTATATCTACTAAAAGATTATAAAACACCCACTGGAGACAGTTTGGGGACATGAGAACAGAACCATAACTCCCTCATGCAATACCAAGGACAATTTCTGTTCCTATACAGAGGGTGGGGAAATTTTTGCAAATATTTATGTAGTTGGGGGATTAAAAGAAAAAAGACAGAGGAGAGAGAATTTAGGATTATTTGGCTACCAGAAGTAATTCTGGTAAATTGATTTTTGATCTGTCAACAACATCCCAGTAAGTAACAGGTTGTCGGGGTCTGCTACAAGCAACTCTGTGGGCTTGTTTCCAAGGGAAAGAATAAATAGAACACTGAAGCAGACATGTGAAGCATGTCTCATGTGACATTCTGCCTCCCACTCACCCTGCACAGAAACCCATATTGTCCTGGAGAGCCCTCGTCTCTGGGCAGGGGACCTTGGCATGAGTTCTAGCTCTGCTCACTGCACACTGGGCCTCCCAGTGGAATTTTGGCTATTGCAAAAGTATTTGAAAGTGCTTTTCAAGAGGAAAGACTATAAAAGTGTTTGCTAGGATCATGTTCCAGGGGAAAATGAGATAAAATGTTTGAAGACTCTATGTAAAGTATTAAGTGCTGCTCACTTATTAGGGTGATATGATGATGATGAAGAAGCCAGAAACTTTCCTTGGGTCTTCTAGATAAATAATGATGTTCATCTCCCATGAAGTCTTACCTGGGTCTCAAACTCAGCCAAACAAGCATTATATTAAAAACAATGTCCCAGAAGGGAAAAACCCTGGGTTTGGATTCTGGGAACACAGGCTCTGGGTATAACTTGCTGCAAATGGTTATGTGCCTTTGGGAAAGTCTCTGCAACGACCATGTGATCAAGGCAATGCCCATTGAGCTCTTACTGAATAGGTGCCCAACCTTAACCAGTGTCTTTAGGATTGTCATTTGGCTTCTCCAAGAGCTGCAAAACCCACTGGTCTTTTACTGTGATTCCTAGGATCCCACCATCTCTAGTAACTGCTTAAGGAAATAATGCAAAGACCTGCAGGCAAGGAGCGTCCATCTGGGAAGCTTATGGGCTTCCTGAGTTCTCTGGAAATGGCTGTGACTGTAGGTGTCAGTCGGAGTGACTCCTTGATACACATTGTGGTATATGACATCTCACCCAGCTGGTCCCTGTGAATACAAGGGAAGGAGGAAGAAACTCAGACTCCATATCCAGCTTATAAATGCTAATTTTTCTTCTTTATAATTGTCTCTGGTCAATATCATCCTCAGCTTAAAACTATTTTTCCATCTGGTATGTGACAGAATGTTAAAATGGGACTCCTGCCTTAGGGTCAACTGAGGTCCCAGAGGAAGAACCAGACAGGTGCCAAATATCCTCATTATAAAGTGAGGTTCTCTCAACAAGATGGAGGAATAGGTACATACGCTTTTCCTCCTTGCACAACCAATAGAAGGGCCATGACAAATTTTAAAACAAGCAATAACCAGAACTGCTGGAAAATCGAACTGTATAAAAGTCCGACAACCAAGAGGTTAAAGAAGAAACATTCATCCAGATTGGTAGGAGGGGTGAAGACAGGAAGCCAGGGTAGAGAGGATTCCGGGCAAGGTGGCTGCTGGTGGAACAGGGAGGGTGCAGAGGCAGCCGGTGGACCGGGCAGTCCCATATTTGGGTACAGATAAACGGGGAGGAACAATTGGACAGCAAGAGAGATCATGCAACCCAGGGTTCTAGTGTGGGGAAATAAAGCATAAAAACCTCTGACTGTAAAAAGCTGTGGGGATTGTGGCTGCAAGAGAAACTCCCAGCCTTACAGTAGAGTTTGTTGGAGAGACCTGCAGGGTCTTAGAATGACACAAACCCGCTCACCCAGGAATGAGCGCCAGAAGGGCCCAATTTGCTTGTGGGTAGTGGGGGAAGTGACTGAAAGCCAGTTGAGAGCTGAGAAAGCCCTATTGTTCCCTGTCTGATCCCTCCTCCACAGACAGTGCCATAACATGGTAATGTGGGTTGCTCCACCTTGTTGAATACATAAACTCCACTCCCTACTACATAACAGATACACCAAGATGAAGAAATATGGTCTAAATGAAAGAACAGATCAAAGCTCCAAAAATAGAAATAAGCGATGAAGAGACAGCCAACTTATCAGATGCAGAGTAGAAAGCACTGGTAATTAGGATGCTCCAGAAATGGTTGAGTATGGAAGCAAAATAGAGGAAGAAGTGAAGCCTATGCGAAGTGAAATAAGAAAAATGTACAGGGAACCAACAGTGATAAGGGAGGAAAACCAGGACTCACATAAATGGTTTGGACCAGAAGTAAGAAATAAACATTTAACTGGAACACAATGAAGAAACAAGAATTGAAAATGAGGAGAGGCTTAGGAACCTCCAGGACAACTTTAAATGTCCCAACATCCAAATCATAGGAGTGCCAGAAGGAGAAGAGGAAGACCAAGGAATTGAAAACTTATTTGAAAAAATAATGAAGGAGAGCTTACCTAATCTGGCAAAGGAAATAGACTTCTAGGAAGTCCACGAAGCTCAGAGAGTTCCAAACAAGTTGGACCCAAAGAAGCACACACCAAATTACATCATAATTACATTACCCAAGATTAAAGATAAGGAGAGACTCTTAAAAGCAGCAAGATAAAAGGAGACAGTTACCTACAAAGCTGTTCCCATAAGACTATCAGCTGATTTCTCAAAAGAAACCTTGCAGGCAAGAAGAGACTGGAAAGAAGTATTCAAAGCAATGGAAGGCAAGGACCTACATTCAAGATTACTCTATCCAGAAAAGCTATCATTTAGAATGGAAGGACAGATAACGTGCTTCCCAGATAAGGTCAAGTTAAAGGAGTTCATCATCACTAAGCCCTTATTATATGAAATGTTAAAGGGACTTATCTAAGAAAAAGAAGATGATCAAAAGTATGAACAGTAAAATGACAACAAACTCACAACTGTCAACTACTGAACCTTAAAAGAAAACAAAAACAAAGCAAACAACCAGAACAGGAACAGAGTCATAAAAATGGGGATTACATTTAGAGTTATCAGCAGGGAGGGGGAGAGGGGAGAATGGACGAAAAGGTACAGGGAATAATAAGCAGAACTGGTAGCTACAAAATAGACAGAGGGAGGTTAAGAATAGTATAGGAAATGGAGAAGTCAAAGAACTTATATGTGCAACCCATGGGCCTTAACTACCATAGGGGAGTGCTGGTGGGCAGAGGGGTGCAGGGTGGAAGGGAATAAAGGGAGAAATGAAAATGGGACAAGTGTAACAGCATAATCAATAAAATATATTAAAGAATAAAAATAAAGTGAGGTGCTAAAGTACTGGTAAAGCATTTCCTTATGGAGATTCCTGAAAACCAGTTTTGCAACACTTAACTCATCATACAAATGATGAATGTGTAGAGGATGGCTAAGGATGGAAGAGAGGAGGGTTAAAAGTTTTGATAGTAAAAAAGAAATCCTTCAAAGAGAATTGTTGGAATGACAAAGTGCCGTGGAAAATGGAGGAGGTTGTTCGCTCCCATATTAAGCAAAGGAGGGTTTCAAACTATTGTTCAGGTGATCTCACATGTGCTCCCTGTAGTCTGGGGGTCATAGGACTGACAGGAAAGCCCCTCAGACAGACAGGGAGGCAGGACAGAGCAACAGAGACAAAGCAAGAATGCTACCGTGTGTCCTATGGGACTGGCCAATGAACTGGCCAGAGGGAGAACTCTGGTACCACCTTGAAGAGAATTGTAAAGACAAGAATTTCCTTTCCCCATGAATCACCTCTGCAAAGTCCCAGTGAGGGAATCTCTAAAAATACCCACAGAAGCAGCCACTAAGAAGAAAAGGAAGCATTTGAATATGCACCAAGCTCAGAGGGCAAGATCACAATAGTATCAGCCATGCTTCCCACTTATCCTCCTCTTTTGGGACCATTTCTGGAAGAGTCAGAAACATCAGGGTGGTGCAGGAGCTGGTGAATGAGAAGGAGTCAGCGATAGTCCCTTACCCACCAGTGGCTTCCAGACCCAAAAAAAGTACTGAGCTGGGATAGAGAGAGATGCTCCATGTGGAGAGGAAATTGAAGATTTTAATATTACACTGGATCAGACAGCTTAATGACTGGAATGAGACTGCTCTTGTGGTTTCCATCAATTGGAATATGTAAGATTCACTACAGATTTCACACAGGAAGAATAGGCCACACTGCAAGTTTGAAGAGTTGGCAGGAGAAGAATCAAGTTTTTAATTTGTATCCTAGCTAACTAGGTTGATTCAATAAAATGATTGCATATATTACTTACTTTACTTGCTTTTCTGATTATTTATTTTGAACACAGGTTTGGACCATTTGGTAGTATAAAATTTTAATCTTGAACTCTTTTCTCCTTGAGCCCAGAACAAAAAGAGTCATGTGCTTAGTCTGGAACTTTGCATAACTGAGAAAAACAATGTTGGCCATCTTGGCCCTGGTGCAAAAAGAAGACAGAAATTTTAACCCAAAGCAGAAGTGGGCTGATAAGGAGACAAACAGAGACATTGAACAACTTCTCAGCTTTTCCAGAAGTTCCTTTTCACAGTGTGGTTTTATTATTTGTCTAAAGGAATCATCAGTTCTCAGAATGCTCTGTATAAATTTCCTTAAATGTAACTATAAGGCCATATCATTAATAAAAACATATTTTATTCCCTACAATATTATTGCCATTACTCTGATTAAAATAAATTGTTGTTAAAAGATCCTTTGCACTTTATTTTCTCACCAGGAAGGTTTTCGTTATTGTTTTTCACATTTCACATAAGCCAAATAATAACGAGAAAGGTCATTCTTTGAGTTGTAAATATAGCCACAATAATCATATTAAAATCTAATTAATGTTGGGAGATAGTATACAATTTTTTAAATTCAATGAATGAATAAAAGTGACTAACCAACACTGCATTTTGTGCTATAGAGTTCAAGCCTTTAATTTATACTAGGAAATATTTATTTGTTATAAAAAGGGAGATCTCTACTATACCCATATAAATTCAAATTTTCCTTTACAAATGTTCTAATTGAGAAGACTGTTGCATTTAAAATATGTTTTCCCTCTAATCATGGAGTTGCGTTGCCTTTAGCTTATCTATTTTTCTGCCCATTTGACCAGGAAACAAGGCTATGTGAATTATCCACCTAGGATGAAGAATGTGGTTTATATCAGGGATATGTGTATTATTTACAAATAGCATAATTAAGAGACTTCATAAACCTGGGCTTCATTAACAGTAAGATATGCTCAAGCCTAGCAAAATGGAGTTGAAGTTTTCCACCTGGCTAACTATTACCCATCCTATAAGAGGCATCTGAAGCATCAGATCTCCCAGGAAATCTCCCTGAGCCCCCATATCCACTTAGGAACCTGTCTTCTAAGTCTCTGTGGTAGCCAGCACATCTCTCTCACCCTTACCATACCATTCTACAATTATCTGTATGGAAGTTTTGTCTCCTGTGTTAGGGTGTGAGCTCACTGAGGGTAGGACTCATAATATATCTTGCATGTCTTTTTAATGCCTCAGTACTTAAAATGTCCTCAATCCATATTTAGTAAATTCAACATCAGTGTACATCATTTAGTACTATGTTCAAAGTCCAATGTCAAACCTGAGGAATGAATAAGGAGATGGGAGAGAATATCTACAGTGAGGCTTAAATGACGCAGATGCTCACTCAGGTCTCTCAGAAGAGTAGCCCCACTTGAGTCCTGCCACTCAAGCTCTACATGCAAGTCTAAGGATCAAGTCCCATTTGCAATACACCAGACACTGGGTTAAAGAACTCAGACTTTCACACACTAGTGAATACAAAAACAATGAAACAGATAACTTATGAATGCATGAGCCTGGCTTACAAAATGCAAAGGGATAACTTTGAGCCCCTTAGAAAAAGAGCAGAATTGTAGCCTGCCTCTTCTGCTGCCACATACACAAGCTTTGAAGCACTACAGTCAGCAGTGTACCAGAAGACAAAAGAATGAAACAAAATCCCAGGAGGAAACCCAGGATGAAATGTATAGGGAGGCAGATCTTACCAGGTGATAGAAGATCCATCCCCCAGGATGCCCCTGATCTCTTCCCGGCATCTCTTCTGATGCTCAGGGTTCTGAGCCAGGTGGTAAAGCAGCCAGGCAATGGCCCCTCCTACGGTGTCTTGCCCTGCCACCATGAATGTGTTCACTTCAGAGTGCAGGTCGGTATCTGAGAAGATGTTGTAATTTTCAGCCTAGAAAGTAGAATAGAGATAGTTTCATGCAATTTCAGTTTATAGATGTTTGGAGCCCCAGCCAAAATAATGGTCTGAAGGGAAAAAAATGGCATTTCCAATGACAGTTTTAATTTCAATTTGGTCCAAAAAAATAGACACTATGAAACACACTTTGCTCATAGCATAGACAGGACCAAAGTTAGGTAAGGAAAGCAGGTCTTGCAAAGAGTTCCTACAATCATCCTGATACATTTATCCAGATTTTCCAGCACCTCATCATCAATATTTTATCAGCTTACTCTGTGACACATTTTCTTATTTTACTAAACTATCATGGATCTTTCTGGTAGTCACCAAACCTGTCAAATCAATAAAAATATTTAGCCTTATCTGATTTTCTCTAGTGACAAAGTTGCAGAATTCTATCTTTACGTCAAATTTTATGGAGCCAACCCATCAATCCAAAAGCATTGTTAAATTTAGTTGATCAGTTTTGCTTTTCTCTCCTTTCCTTCCACTCACCCACCTACCCACACAATTATCTGGACATATGAGCAGGCTCAAATTTGAAACATTTACCTGGGCAGAAAGGATAACATCCAGAAAATCCTGATACTTCCTTTTCTCAGTGTTACCCTGTTCCTTCTTATCCTTGAAGGATTTCCTTCTGTCTTGGATAATCAGCTCTGTGGTAGAATAATAATCCACCATTACTAAAGTGACAACAAAGTAAATCAAAATAAAATAAAATGTAGAGCTAGCCATGGCCCATAATAGATTCAAATCTTGCCTAATTTCCTGAGGTAAGAGTGGGTATACCTATTTAACCAGATTTAATTTTTGCAGATGTTTATTTTTCTATCAAATGACATTATTTGATCAAAGTTCCAGAAACAGATGCTTCTAGTTGAGTTGGTCTAGTAAGTAAATGCTGTGCTTGCCTCCTCCCATCACTACCTCAAAATTACAACTAAATTATAGAACAACCACCCTTGAGAACCACCTGAATATTAGCTGAACAGAAGTCTTATAACCAAGGATATAAAGAAGGAGCAAGCAAAATATATCCAGAGACATTGAAATTAAGAACAAACTGACAGTGACCAGGGGGAGGTGGGAGGGGATAATGGAAGGAAAAGGGGTAAGGGTTTTCAGGAACATATATGAAGGACACATGGACAAAACCAAGGGGGGTTGGGATCAGGGGTGGGAGATGGAGATGGCTGGGGTGAGGGATAACAGTAAGGGGGAAGTGGATACAACTGTACTTGAACAAGAACTTAAAAAAGTGAAAAACAAAAAGGGGACACATTGAGACTGGTTGGAGGGGTTGAGACAAGAAACCACTTGGTTCCAAACCCATAGGTAGTAGTTAAGAATTGGGAAGGACATGGATGGGCCAATAGCAACTAAGACTCAATTACAACCAGAGGGCTCACATAACCCACACAAAAGACATTTCTAGAGCACCTGGTTCAGGTGATCAGGAAAAGTGTGTCCCTGAGTCCCATAAGACATCAACTACATAAGACCATGATACCAAGATTGGGAGACATAGCAGATCAATGCAATACACAGAGAGAAACACAAAAAGGCAGACAAAGTAGGGGAAAAGAAACATGCTCCAAATGACAGAACAAAAGAAATCGTCAGAAAAAGAAGTAAAAATGAAGGTAAAGAAGCTACTGGATGCAGAGTTCAAAAGCAGACATGAGGTAGCAATATTTGTATCAGACAAAATAGACTTTAAAAGAAATGCTGTAACATGAGACAAAGATAAAGGATCAGTCCAAAGTGAAGATATAACCCTTGTAAACATTTACGTACACAACACAAGAGCAACTAAATATAAAGCAAATAATGACAGATATAAAGGGAGTGACCAGCAGTAATACAATCATAGTAGGGGACTTTAATGCCCTACTGACAGCAATGGACAGATCATCCAGACAGAAAATCAACAAGGAATCAGTGGCCCTAAATGTCACATTAGACTAGAGGAATTTAACAGATATTTTAAAAATATTTCACCCCAAAGCAAGCAGAATATTTTTTTCTCGTACATTGTTTTTTAAGCACACAGGGAATATTTTCTAGGATTGACCAAATCCTAGAACACAAAACAGGTCCCAATAAGTTTAAGAAAGGTGAAATCATATTGGACAGTTTCTTTGATCACAATGGTATGAAATTAGAAATCAAGTACAAGAAGAAAACTAAAAATCACACCAACATGGAAGTTAAATAACATGCTACTGAAAAATGAATGGGTTAACAGCAAGATGAAGGATAAATGCAAAACATTTCTTGAGAAAAATTTTAATGAAAACACAATGACTCCAAACCTATGGGACACAGCCAATGTGGTTCTAAGAAGGAAACTCATAGCAATACAGGCTTTACTCAAGAAACAAGAAATGCATCAAATAAACAACCTAAACTTACACCTAAAGCAACAAGAGAAAGAACAACTATCACAGCACAAAATGAGTAGAAGGATGAAATAATAATGATCAGAGTGGAAATAAAGGAAATAGAATCTAAAAAACAATCTGAAAGATCAATGAAACCAATGCTGATTCTTTGAAAAGATAAACAAAATTCATAAACCTTTAGCCAGACTGATCAAGAAAAAAGAGAGAATTCAAATAAATAAACTCAGAAATAAAAGATGAGAAGTGACAACTGACACCACAGAAACACAAAAGGTTATAAGAAACCACCATGAACAGTTATATGCCAACAAACTGGACAACCTAGAAGAAATGCATGAATTCCTAGAAACATACAATCTTCCAAGACTGAAGCAAGAAGAACATCTGACCAGACTGATGACAACTAATGAAATCAAAGCAGTAATCAAAAAACTCCCTCCCCCCAAAAAACAAATGCCCAAATGCTTTCGTATGTGTATTGTACCAAACATTCAAAGAAGAACACCTTACCTTCTTGAACTATTCCTAAAAACTGAAGAGGAGAGAAAGCACCCAAGCTCATTTTATGAAGCCAGCATTACTGGAATTCCAAAAGCACACAAAGACTTTACAAAAGAGGCCAATATCCCTGATGAACATAGATGCAAATATTCAACAAAATATAAGCAAATTTCATTCAATAACACATTAAAGAGGTCATATGCGATGACCAAGTGGAATTTACTCCTCGGATGAAAGGCCAGTACATTTCCAAATCAATTAATACTGTATATCACGTAAACAAAATGAATGATAAAATTATATGATCATATAAAAAGATGCTGAAAAAGCTTTTTGGCAAAATCCAGCATCCATTTATAACAAAAACTCTCAACAGAGTAGGAACAAAGAAAACATACGTTACCATAATGAAGGCCAAATGTGACAAACCCACAGCTAACATAATACTCAACAGTGAAAAGGTAAAAGTGTTGTCCTTAAAATCAGAAACAGGACGAGGATGCCCACTTTCATCACTTCTATTCAACATAGCACTTAAAGTCCTAGCTAAAGCAATCATACAAAATAAAATAAAAGGCATTCAAAATGGACAGGAAGAAGTAAAACTGCCATTATTTGTAGATACATCATAGAAAAATCCTAAAATTTTTACACATGCAAAGAAACAAAACTCTTGGAACTGAGGAATAAATTCAGTAAAATCATGAGATGAAAAATTACTATTCAGAAATTGGTTGTATTTTTATATAGCAATAATGAACTATCAGAAAGAGAAGTTAAGAAAACAAACCCATTTAAAACTAATAAAAAAAGATAATATACCCAGAAATAAATTTAACCAGGGAGGTAAAATGCATGTACTTGGAAAATTATAAAACACTGAAGAAACAAATTGAAGAAGATCCAAATAAATGGAAACATATATTGTGCACATGGATAGGAAGATTTAACATCTTTAAAATGTTCATGCTGACCAAAGCAATCTATAGATTTAATGCAATCCTTATCAAACTATCAATGGCATTTTTTATTAAACTAAAATAAATAATCCCAAAATATATAAGGAACCACAAAAGACCTCAAATAGTAACAATAATTTTGAGGAAGAACAACATTGGAGGTACACTCTACCTGATATCAAACTATAGCAGAAAGCTCTAGTAATCAAAGCAGCATGATACTGGCAAAACCAAACACATAGATTCATGGAACAGAATAGAGAGCCCAGAAATAATCCCATGCCTATGTGATCGATTAATCTGTAAAAAAGGAGGCAAAAATATACAATGGGGTAAAGACAGTCTATTCAGTAAGTGACTTTGGGAAAACTGGACAGATACATATAAAAAAATGAAACTAGACCAACTTATCAAAATGGATTAAAGACTTAAATGATAGACCTGAAACCATAAAACTGACGGAAGAAAACATAGGTGGTAAATACTGTGGCATTGCTTTTAGTAATGTTTTCTGATTATTTTGCTTGGGAAAACAACAAAATAAAAAATAAATAAATAGGATTATAGCAAACAAATAAGTTTTTGCACAGCAAAACAAACCATGAACAAAACGAAAAGGCAACCTAGTGAATGGAAGATTTTCATCAATGAACTATCTGATAAAGGATATACCTTGCAAATTTCCTAGGGGAAAATCTTCTATGTTTCCATTTATGCAGTTCCAGGAATTGTCTGAAGTACTTTAAATATATTAACATATTTAATCATCACCACAAACCTATGAGCTAGGTCCTCTTTTATCCTCATTTTACAGATGAGACTGTGGGAAAGCTGTAAATAACGTGCCCAAAGTCACACTGCTGGTAAGTGCTGGGGCTAAAGTAGGATGAATTAACTGCTTGGTAAACATTCTGTACTATGGTGTTCACTAAAAGTAATGTCCTAGCTAGTGACCTACTAATGACCTAGTTGAATTGCTTAGAAAATTTAATCGCTTTCACTTTTAGGTTTACATTTTGTTAAAGCTATTTTGAACCCTTCTTTTTTTAACTTCATTTTATTTTTTTTATGCTAGTAAGAGTGTTTATTCTGGGATTTACCCACTTAACACACTTTTAAGTGTACAATACAGTATTGTTAACTATAGGCACCATGGTGTAGAGCAGCTCTCTAGAACTTAGTCATCTTCCATAACTCAAACTTTACACCCATTGGACCACTCCTCATTTTCCCCTTTTTTGAACATATGTCCCCATTTATTCTTTTCCCCTAATCATTCCTATGTTACATGAATGTTTTTCACTTTTCATTACTACTGCAATCATGGTGCAAAAAGCTAAATGCTATTTATGTTTTGAAATAGTAAGTACCCACCTGTTATATTATATTTGTGTTAATAAGAGTTGTGCAAAACAAAAATTATATAATGTTGAAAACTTCTCATAAGACCACAACTGTGGATATAGCAAGCTCTTCTAAAGGACTTGCATTCCATTGGAGCAATGTCCATATCAAAGCTCCATTAAGAACAAGAATGCTTTCTGTTTTCACACTGAAGTCTGCTCCTATACACAGACACAACACGGTTATGACAAAGGATACATTTGGGTAACTCAGACCTTAGAAATACCTGTGTACTGATTCAGAATGTTGGCTATCTTCTGTAGGCGGCGGTAAGCTGTGGTGAATTTGAAAATCATGTCATAGTGAAGCAAGGAAGTGTACAAGCATTTAGAGATAATTTTGGAAACTTCAGATAGTGCATTGACATATTCATCATGGGAGCTGGAGACAAAGTGGGGATAAATGTCAATAAGTGACTTAGATGATGGCAAACAAGTGTCTTTTTTGCCCTCCTGTTACTGACCTGTTTATCTGGCAATTGGTCTCTTTGCTGAAGGTACATTTCATGAGTGTATCCAGAGTCATCAAGCTGATGTCCCTAGAGACCTCCACAAGTGTATTTTGAGTGCCGCACATCTTCTCCCATTTACTCTGATACAGGAAGTCAAGATGAACAACATCACCATCAAAGTATCTGTATCTGAAGACCTCTCCTTGACCCTGCCCTTAAGCCGAAATAGAGACAAACCTGACCTAGCAGGAGCCAAAATCCACACAGGCAAGTAAGCTGTTTACTTGGCATTATTAACAGGGAAAACACTCATCCCACTGGGCAAGAAAGAGCATGGAACACAAGAGGTACCCAGTAAATGGCTGAGTTAAGTATCATTGGCCTGTCAATTATTTCAATAGCTCTGCTTTGAAACAGAACAGAGTTCCATTAAAACAGATAATCTCTGGTACAAGACCTGTAATTACAAGGGGCTCCCCAGGGCTTCCTCTATCTTTAGTTTCCAAACAGTTACATAACCCATCCATCACTATTCTCAACCACCATAAGCACACTTAAACTTGGGGGCATTAAAGTGAAAAATACAAATAAATCTCAATGTGTAAGTTCAGATCAACTGACATTTGAGTACCTCTGCCTACAGCTACATGCTAAGGATTTGAAGGCCACACAAGAAAAGGCAAAGAGATAGTTTTCTTGCTTTTACCTAAGTGTCAACTGTTAGTCAATTGCTTTCACCCTGAATTATGTAAGTTTTACTGAGTACAAAAGTGAGTTTACAAGAAATGAGAGCAAAGTGGAGGCTCTAAGCTGGAGGCACTTTGGCACAATTCAGCAGAGGGAAGAGCTCTGACAGGAATTTCAGGGAAATGTGGGACCTAGAAGGGAGACAGAAATGTTTATTAAAATGGAGATAAACTCAAATACTCCCACTGGGCGACACGCAATAGTGCGTTAACTGGAATAACGCCTGAATCAGAAGAGCATGCCCTCTCCCACTCTAACCTGTACCTCAAGTTCTCTGCCTGGACAGTTCACACTGGTACTCACTTGCACCATAGTTCCAGCAGACTTGAGGTTAGATTCACCTTTGTGAGGGAGGCTGAGAACCCAGCCAATCAGTAGGTTTCTCTTGTGGAAAGGAATAGGCTTGCTGATGAAGGCAGAAAAAACTTTGGCTTTGTTTGTGTTGTAGGAAGTGTTTATGATGAAACTATATTATATTAATGCATGATTTGTATGATTTTTAAATAAGTACAATCTAAAATGTTACCATGTACAAGGGGGCCTTTAGAATAGAACTCATGTATGCATCAGGGACTGCCCATAGGAACACTCCTCTGCATCCTCCTGTCCCCTTGGAAGAGTGCAGGTCACCTCTTAATGATCCTCTGTTATCTACAAGAGGAAACTCACATCTCTGACTGTAATATAGACACTTAGTCATTTGTCCAGTCATTTATGGCCATCAGGCAAGTTCATTCCAACCACCAACACTTTGGTCATGCTAACTCGCTCTGCCTAAATTCCTCATCCATATTATTCACGTATTCAAGTCCAGCTCATGTTTCATGATAAATCTGAGTCTCCTCTGAATCTGAAGCTATTATAGCTCCTTCAATTTTTCTGGCTGTCACTCAGAGCATTTACCATTTGAATCTTACTACTTTGATTTATTTCCATAGGTTCTCAAAATATACCTAAGAAAAACCAGACCATCATCTTTTTTTTATCACCCAAAAGACCGTAGCAAAGGTATATATACAAACTGTTGCTAGTGGGTACTTGTACATAGGATAATTTCTAGAAATCATTCCCCTTTGAATTTCACTACCCACTAAACACATGTGTAATCCAATCCCTGTTAGAAGTATTTTGCAACACATCACAACACTATTATCCCTTTACCTACCAGCATTATGTTCACAGTCTGGGTCAACACATTGACATGGGATCTCAAAATATTAAAATTAAATGCAGGAGTTATTAGATGTCGGTGCTGGAACCACATGGGCCCATTTAGGTTCAGTAGTCCTTCTCCTTGAGAAATAAAAGGCACAAAAGCATTTTATTAGAAGGTATGGTCAAGGAGAGGTGAGGGACACACACCATAATGTGACCATGATACACAAACACAACATAGTAGAATATTAAATAGTGCTCATATTTTAAGATCAAAGTAAATTTTGATGTTTATACCTGGGATGAATGTATTTAGCACTGCCAGAAAAAAACCCACTTTATGAAGCCTTATGAGAGTGTTCATCCTGAAATCATCAGTTACTACCCATGTATTTATTAGGTAAGTCACTTAAACTTCCTGATGCTTGGTTTTCTCAATGATCAAGTGTGATAAATATCTACTTCATTGTTTGGTTTATTAAATGAAGGTATATATAAAGCACCAGCCTGATATTTAGCTGACAGTAGAAACAAAGGAAATATTCACCTTATCTCACTCTAAACCAATCCCAACCACAGAATGAACATAAATTTCACAAAGAACTAGACAAGAGTTCCCATTATGACCCCAGATATCTCCTCCTGAAGCCCTAAGCTGTGCTTCACACTCATAAATGATACGAAGTGGAAACACTCATTAAGGCTAATGCCTCAAATATTCTGCACCAGGAGGGTGATTAAAGATTTGACTTTAAAAGAACGTTAAAGCTTATGGATATATAATGGCCATCATTCACTGAGGGTTTAAAATATACCAGCCTTGCAATGCCTTACATGAATGTGTGTTTCATTTAATCTTCACAACACTCTGGAGATGTGACTCTCTTCCTTATTTTTAAAGGTGAGGAAACAGAGGCTTAGGGAGATTAATTGACTTTCCAAAGACCATACTCATCAGTGGGAAGGGGGAACAGGATTCAAATCCGAGTAGCTATAACTACAAAACACATATTCTTTCATTTAATTCCTTTTTTCTCTAACATAAACATCAAATATATGACTGAAAGTCTTAATTTAAATGCTCATAGAATATTTACAAACTACTTTAGGGCAAAATTGTACTGATTTGCATGCAGAAATAGGGAACTCCAAAAAGAAAGGGAAGGAGACAAGAAAACAAGAGAGAAGAAAGGATAACATAAAGAATGTGGATGGTGAAGCTGCAATTTGAAAGACAAAAATGAGACAATACACACATTTATGTCTTGAGAATGAGATTTTAGGGGGAGAAATGGACAAGGAGGCTTCCTAGGAAGTTGAGCTGTGTTGACCTTAGCATGCCCTCTTGACCTTCCCCCTAGATAACCTGAAGTGTAGATCTACCATACTCTTAATGCTTTTGAATTCTGACTTGAGTTCCTTTGGAGTTCTCTACTATAGATAGGGGGCTTCTAGCAAGAGAGTGCGTCACTCCTTTCAGTTAAACATACATACCGATTAATGGAATCAAGAACTTGTATAAGTACTTGGACTTGGGATCTGCAGAGTAAACCAGCAGAAACAAAAGACAGCATTAGAGGAAAGTTATCATAGTTAGTGAAGATTCTCCTCATTTGCCTGCATTAACCACAAATAGCAAAATGAAGCCCAGGGCTTACTCCCTGCAGCCCTTGGCAGGTGCAGGGGTTGAAGCAGATGGCCAAAGTCTAGGTTCAGGAATCAGAGAGGAGGTCCATGAGTCAGACAGGTACACAAACCCAGATCTTCTCCTCCTTTACACTTCCTACCACACACATAGAGATTATTCATAGGTTACAAAAGTTTCAGAACAGGAGTTGGGACAACCTATCATATGTTTCTTGGAAAGCAAATTACCTATTACCACAGGGGTTGGAGACACACCAGGAAGTAAAGTACAAATGCCTATTGGGGTTCTCATGAACTCTAACATGGATGTGTTTTACAGCTCTAGCCCTTTAAGAGGTGACCATGAGACCAATCCAAGAGAACTGGGGAAACAGGAAACATGGGAAAGCCTGTTTTCTTTTATGAGGTTTTGCTAAGAGTGATGGAGACAATGGCACAGGGAAGAAAGGTTTAAATATTGGACCTTAATTTACAAAGTTGATGGAGCAAAGACTGGACATTTAAATGCTGTGCTATGAGATAATGTACCATGGAAGCCTTGAAAAAGAATTGGATGCGGGAGTCAAAGGACTCAGCTCCAAAAGGAAACACAGTTGAGAAATATGCAAAACACAAAATTTGGACCATTTTGAGGAGGTTAGACTGAGTAAAGTCATGATCTGGTCTTCAGGGTTACATACTGAACCAGCATAGGCAGAGCTACCTCGGAATCCTTCTGAAGACTCCTGAGCAAGAAAGGGGCCGGGGGTGGAGACTGTGGCTGACACTGAAGTCACAAAACCAAAGAAGGAAAGAAAGCCTCTGGTGATCTGGTGGTGCCAGCTGGGCTTTAAGATACAGTCACCTAAAAGGGCCTATGAGAATTTGAACTAGACAGGGACAGGGGGCTGACATGGGAATACCCTTCAGGATTGGTGGGAAACCTCTTCACACTTACTCCAGTGTCTCTTGAAGGCCCAATACTAGTCATTGCTGCAGAATTCCTTTGGAATCCTGCTGGTGGCTTATGCATATCACTCTTAGGAGGATGAAGTTCCTGAGAGTCACTCCTTGTCTTACCTGTTCTGCTCAGAAATGTCCTTGCATAGTCTGGGTCACAGATATAGAAAAATGCCTGAAAAGGCCCAAGCCAGATGGGAAAGGCACACGGGTATTTTCCAACAACCTCCTCAAGTTCCTCCAAGTTGCCATCCAGAACTAACTGCAATGGAAAAAGCAAGGGAAATCAGAGATGCCAGCCAGTCTAGACTCATGTGCTTGTGCAGACTAAAGTGAGTTCAGGGCTTGGATAAGGTCACCAGGCAGGGGGCCCTGACCCCTTTTCTGGAAGTGGGTGAATATGCTTTCCTTGGGATTTCTAAGCTTGGAGTATAAAAAATTCTAAACAAGGATAGTTTACGTATCTTCCCAATATAAATACATGTCCTATCCCCAGACCAAGTCTCTGTCAAATGACATACACTGTGAGCTGTTTTCCCAACTGAGAGGGTGAAGGGAGCCAAGTCACATACCCTGCCTCACCTGCCAAGGTCACACACTTGGATTAGGAGTGGCATATGGAAACTGCAAAAGATTTTTTTCCCATGTGGAAAACTAACTAGTAGCAGGTTGAACATGACCACCATCCTCCTCACCATTCCCTCCCCCTTTACCTCTCTCTAATTGTTGGTGAGTGATTTTTCCTTAATGACTTAATAGTAAATGCTTCTCTCTAAATACACACCAATTCCATCTAAGAAGAAAATTCAATTCTTTTGCCACATAACAGCAGGAGATTCAGTTATACAAGTGTGTAAAACTTGAAGGAAATTCCAATGCAAAACTCTCAGCTACTACCATCTCTTCCTATGAACTGTTCCACCTGTCCCTGTGTAGCCCTTATTCAAGCATCATGTCCTCACAGTAAGTAAACTGTCATGCCTATTCTACCCTGATGAACAGAAGAAAGATAGGGAAGAAGAGTGTTTAAACTAATTGCATCACAGTCCTGACTGGTGTGGCTCAGCTGATTGGGTGTTGTCCCGCAAAGAGAAAGGTCACATGTTTGATTCTTGGCCAGGGTACATGCCTAAATTGCAAGTTCAGTCAGTCCCTTTTCATAGCTATGTTTTTCTACCTGTCTTTCTCCTTATTTCCCCATCTCTAAAAACAAACAAACAAACACAAACCAAAAAAAACCCCCCAAAAACCCTGCATCATGGCCAGTCTGATCTCTCTCCACTGTTGACAACTGAAAACATTTCAATTAGCCAGTGATTCTTCCCTACTTTGATGTCAGCCTAAATGCCCCAGGCTGGTGTGAAAAAGGACTCAACACATTTGACCAGAGTCCACACTAGTGTAAGGTTTCAAAAAGGAAGACATCCAAATTACTGCCTAAGGTGAAAATACAGGATTTATTGTAGTTTGATGCGCATAATCTATCTTAATCTAGTTCAGACAACTGTGTGTCAGCTGTGTGCCACATGAAGAAATCCAAAGCCATGTGAAGAAATAAAGATCTCAATAAAGGTAAATGCATAGGCAATTATAAAAGCTAGTATTAGTGTAAGAGTGCTTTGTAACTCACCTTTTGTTTTCTACATGGTTGTAGAAAATAATGCATTGAAAAGAATTAGTAGTTTGTTTTTAATAAAACAAGGAGTCAGGGTTGGGAGTGGATTTAGAGTCAGGGTAGACCAAAAGGTACCAGCCTTCCTCTACACTACAAATTCAAACCAGTCAATAATTTTTTAGTGATTGGCTGGGGTTGTTCCCTGCTTCACAAGAATCTTAGGAAATGAAGGTTAATTTTCTGTAGTTGGAATGGATTAAGGTTGCAACTTTTGCGTCTAATTTTGCAAATTTTCTGCAATTAATAAATATTATTTAGGATAACACTTTAAAAATTTAACAACATATGTGGAAGCCTTTTTAAAATGCAGTGCATATGCGCAAGAGCTGAGTGAAGCAGAAACAGTCTAGAATTATGCCGAGCTTTCTTTCTCCACAATCAGGCTTTTGAAATACCTCCTTTGGCCACTGAAGCTTCCGGTCTAATGGCTCCAGGGTGTGTCCCTTTCCCTTAGGGCTGTGAGGGAGCAAGACTAGCACAGGGAAAAGACACGGAGAGCCATTGGCTGGGCCAGAGAGGTCTGTGCGGCAGGGGAGGATGGAGAAAGGGAAGGACACAGTCACCTCTCTGTCCTCCGCGTTTCCAGCATCCTCCCTCGCCCCCGCCCTTCCGTCTACCTTCTGGTTCCCGGTGAACCAGTGCGGGGTTGGACCGGGAAAGGCGCGCAGATCTCGCAGCAGCTGCTCCCTCCGCAGGTAGAGCTTGATGGCCTGCAGCAGCCCCAGGGTCAAGAAGAACACGAACGCCAGGTAAAAGGGCCTCGCCCAGCTCGTGTCCAGCCAGGCGAACTCCATGACTGGGCACTGCTGATTGCAGGCAGTCTCCGGGGATCCCGGGAGAGGGTGATCTTTCCAAGCCTGGTGGTTGGGGAGGATCACCCAGGCCACTGCGTCTCTGTGCTCCCGGGAAGCTCCCTCCTTCCCTGGGCAAGAGGAAGAGTGGTGGAAGTAGCAGCTCAGGCTTGGCCAGAGGAGGCAGGCTCAAGGTTCCGGATTTCTAAGCCTTTATCAACTGATGCAAACCTCCATTTAGGCGGACATCTTATACAGTCCTGGAGTGACACATTTCAAACGGGACAGTCTTCAATCAAGGGAGATTTGAATCTAGGTGTTGAAATAATGCCAAGGTCGAGGTCATCCTTTTTTCTTCATTGCCACAAGTAAATGCTATGCAAAACTGCTGTGCAAAGAAAAATAAACTGCTATGCCCAAAGACCTTCTTTTCTAATCTGACATTTTATCAAAACCCACAGGGTTCTGTGTGCTGGTGGGCATGAATAACCATTACATTTATATAGTGTGGCCTGTCCAGTGGTGTGCTTGTAAAAGTTTTAGAACTGATGTGCCCTCTGATTTCCAAAGTTTGAGGATGTCCATCATGTCCTATTTCAAGCTGCCAACAGAGGACCCTAAACTCTGACTTGGGAAGAGATGCTAAGCAGCATACCATTGTATAGTCGTTCCACCACACAGATACAATCAGGGCCCACAACACAATTAATGGAACGCGGTGCAAAACGAAAATGTGGGACCCCTTGTTAAAAACTTACTGACAAGGAGATGACAACAGAGCATTAAACCAAGCACATACCCATTTGAGTGCAGTATCCTGTGTCACTGCTCAGGTTCCATACTCAAAAAGTCAGCCCTGGACACAAGAGACATAACTTCAAGAGCATAGACAATAGTAAATGTACTAAAGTAGTTAGAGTTTACTTAGAGTTTTTTTTAAATTACTTATTCAACAGTGAAGTAGAATCCAACAGACTCGGCCCCCTAAGCTGTCATCCCTCACTCCCAACCTTCTTTATAGGAATTGTCCAAAACTCATTCATTCATTCATTTATTTATGCTAAGGTAGGCACAGGCATGAACAATAACCCAATCTCTGTTATCACTTCCTATTCTCCTCCCTGTCACTGGCTCCCACTCCTATCCCAGTCCCTGGACCAACTTTTATTTGTCAGGTTAATGCTTAAGACAGAATTAAATGGTGATGATTTCTCTGGAACAAGTACTGGCCCCTTGAATGTTCCATTTTGTGCCACTCCTTGCTTCAGCTCTTCCTTCCCAAGACTGTTCCACCTCTTCCTACCTCCATCCATTAGCTGGAAGTTATTTGACAGCATCTCAAAATAATTGTTTATACAATTGATACACAAGACATTGTCAAATAAATTTTTAAAATATGAGGAACTAGTGAAATATACAAAGCAGATTTCATGCAAAGGTCCAAAAATGTATAGTTCCATTATTTTCTTCCTTAATAACCTGGAGGAAAGAGAATGGAAATGTTTGGGAAGAGGCATAGAGCTAGTCCCTACTCTTACTGCTGCCTCCTGGACACCGGCCAGTGCTGGGCACTGCCAGGAAGCAAAGAAGGATCCAGGGTAAGCCTTTCCTTGGCAGGTTCAAAATCTGGTGGAGGGGACAGAGAGATAAAGAAAGGGATATAGTGCAATGGATAAATGCCACTATTGGAAGGATGTTTCAAAAACTTACTCTTTCTTACAAATAAGGACATAAAATCCAAAAAAGAAAAGCAGCTTGCTCTAAGTCCCTTCCCTCCAGACTGAGAATTCCAAGGTCCTATCTCCTTTCTTCATGTCACTGTCACTGGATGGGTTGTGGGTCCAGAGCAGGTGTGCTGTGTGCCTCAGGCCCACAGGTAGTGTTGGGTTCCTGACCTCATGTAGGAAACATTTCACAACATGAGTGCAGCTGATTTTGAAAGTTGTTTGTTAAAGCTGGGGACAGTGAAACAAAGGAAGGGCTTAAGGTAGAAGAAGAAATAGGAAAGAGATAATCAGAGAAAAGGGGGCCCTGGAGACAGGTTTAGGGGGCTAGCCCAGGAAGAACTGCTGCTGCCCACTGCTCCTCTGGTTGCAAGTCTCATGGGGTCACTTAGATTTCAGAAGAAAGACAGCAGAAATGTGAGGCATGGGGGTGCCCCAGAGAGAGAGAGAAGCATGGTTGCTTTGGGTTGAGGCTTTTTACCTTTCTTTGGGCAGCCGGGTTTCTAGCACAGGTCTCAGGAGGGTTTTAACAGAATATTCATTAGATTTTCAGATGTTTCCTTCAATATAGTGTTTTATTGCAATGGGTGTAGAGGAATCAGGGGTTATTTTGGTCTGCTGTATTTTTAAAGAACATCATTGAAAAGGGACGAGGACTAAGGCCAGTCTTGCCCCAGAGGTTCTGGATTGTGTAAGCCATTTGCTCCTAAGTGTCCTTTGTTAGGGAAAATGAAATGCTGTGATTCATTCACTGGCTATAAATTGCTCAAATTATTTGTCCTTGTTTAATTATTTTTTCTCTGTGTCCCTTATTCCACTTGTCAAGGAATTTCCCTAGCTTCTTACTATCCTGCTTCATTGCCCCATTAGAGACTTCAATCCCTAAAATCTTTTAGAGTTGATGAGGGAGGACAGTTTGCCTTCAGCAATTGATTTATGCTAACAAGGTCATGGTCCCAGCTTATGTAAGATATGATGTCTTTCCCTGCCTGATCAAAGGGGGACAAGGGAATGGGATCTGAGACTGGAGCAGAGAGGCCATTGGCTGACTCTTCTAAAGTAGGGATGGGCTGGAATCCCTGAAGTGTCATCATCTTGACATAGATTTGTTGTATCCTAGAGGTGACAAATTTGACAAGATGGTTAGTAGAGTGGAACACCTGGGATTTTATCTGAGAAGCGTTAAATCCAATGGGGACAGAAAAATTTCTTTCCTGGGAGAGGAGGCTGAGTGTATGAACAGGCTAGTAGAAAGAGTATCAGAAATATGAGAAAGACAATTATATTAAGGCTTAGCTATTATATAATTTATCTGTAACAGGTTGGTTTTTATCTTCACATTTTTATTCAAAGACATTTTTATTCATTGCTTTTTAGAGAGAGAGGAAGAGGGAGAGGGAGGGAGAGAATGAGAGAGGAACATTGATGTAACGGAGAAGTACTAATTGGTTGCCTCCCATATGTGCCCAACCTCGGAATTGTATGCACCTGGACTAGGGATTGAACCTGTGCCCTAGGCCTGGGCCCCAAGCAGGAATTGAAACTGCCATCTTTCAGTTATCGGATGATGCTCTAACCAACTGAGGCCCACTGGCCTGGGAAGATTTTTGGTTTTTGAAGAGGAGCTTGAGGTCCTCGATAGGTTCACAAGAATAGTTCTCAGATTATGGTTTCTATGGGGCCTCACCAGAACCAGGTTTAATTTGAGACAAGTGAATCCACCTGATTATCCTTTTGAGCTTTATTGCAGTTGGGGTGCTTATTAGGACCTAATATTGACTTTCCATCTGAGTTGTAGTTGGGACTCAGGACAGTTTTCCCTCCTGGTTTTTAAGTAGATCATGTCTCCAGGTTTAAATTGTTTGTGTTGATAGTCTTTATTGGGGGCAGGCAGAATTTCATTTCCATATTCCTGTAATGTTTTTGCACCCATCTTAGATTCATGGTGTAAGACCACAGCTGGAGGATTTCCTCATCTATTAGCAGGTCAGATCTGAGAAAGGGCCTGCCATGAGTGAGTTCAAAGGGGCTAACTTGAAGCTTTCCTTTAGGTGCAGCTTTCATCCTCATGAGACCTAAAGGTGTCACAGACACCAATGACTTTGAGGTTTCTTGGCATAGCTAGACTAGAGTCCTCTTTAGGGTTTGATTAGCTCTTTCTATCTTACCCAAGGATTAAGGTCTCCAGGATCCATGTGATAGTTGATTCCTAAAGCTTCAGCTGGCTGTTGTATAATCTTGGCTACTACAGGGGTTCCATTGTCATTCCATAAGCTTCTTGGTAGCTCAACTGAGGTAAGGTTTCTTTCAGTAAGTACTTGGCCACCTCAGTAGCTCTTTCTGTTCTGGTAGGAATGGCTTCAGTCCATCTGGTGAAAGTGTCTACAAATACTAGTATATGTTTAAATCCAGCTTTAGGTGACATCTGAGTGAAACCAATTTGCTTATCCTGTCTAGGGTATCTTCCTGGCTGTTGTATTGGTGTCTGGAGGGGAGGAGGAGGGAGATGACTCTGAGGGTTATTTTTAGAGCTCATCACACACACTAGGGTCACTTCCTTTCTCATTTTATGAAAACTTTATAGTATTTCGATGTATTTCTGTGTTAATAAAAGCATATTTTTTGACATCAGCCCACCCAGCCTGTAGAGAACCCATTGTCAAAGGCCCAAGAGACCTCTTCAGTGGTGTAGGGGAAACTTTTGGGGGCGGAGGGAGGTTGGGGAACAGAGCTGTCTCTAGGGTGATTGATGAAGACAGAGCTGCTATGTTAGTTGCCTGATGTGCCAGTGTACTGCCTTGGATTCTATCTGTGTTCCCCTTTTGGTGGCCCTGGCAATGTATTACAGCTACTTTTTGGGAAGTGTACAGGAGTTCTAAAATTTGTTTATAGCGTTTTATGGGGGAGTTTTGCTGTTCAAAGTCCTTTGTTGAGTCTGTATGGATATTACCATATTTTGCCATGTATCATGTGTACCCCCATTTTGTGTGCATTATACACAGGATTATTATACCCATGGTATGTAATCATTGTACCCATGTATAATGTACATCCTTAATTTTCCCTCAAATTTTGGACAAAACAGGACACATTAAACATTATAAAATACAGTAGCTTGGAGGGTTTTCCCCCTATTTTTAAGGCCATAATGAGTGCTATCAGAGCATCTTTTTGGGCTGAATAGGGCCCAGGTTTTTGTCTCTATTACTTCTGGAAGACTAACAGTGGGGTACCTGGCCTTTCTGGCCCCTCCTTGTATGAAACTGCTGCCATTTGTAATCCATTCTGCTTCAGGTTTAAATAAAGCTTCATCTTTTAGGTCAAGTCTACTTGGATATACTTGTTCAATAGTTCCTATGCACTGGTGTGTGCTCTGGGTTTCTGTGTTTATTGGCAG